AAAAAAAAAAAAGATATTATAATAATAAATATTTAATAAATTTAGTGAGGTTAGCAAATCAGTCAGTAAAATAACAAAAACAAATACACTTATATTCAATGTGCAAGACTTCAAATTTAGCTTTATATAAATGTAAATACAATAATATATTATATATTATAATAATATAAACAGATTTATATTCTATTCTTGAAAATTAAGTTAATTATTATTAATTATTAAAAATTAAGAAAATTATTAAATGCAGTGAAGCTAAAAATCAGCAAACAGAACAAAAATAAATACACTTAAATTGAATATACGTTCTCTTGCAAGTCTTATAGTTCAGCTGTATACAATTTAACTTGTTAAAATGTTATATACGTATATATATATATATATATATATATATATATAACTTTTCATTCTTAAATATTAAATTATTATACAATTTTATTCAAATGCACTTGTATAAAATGTTAATCACATTAATGTATTACCAAAATGACATATAATGTGTATTAATAATAATAATAACTTTCATTCTATTCTATGTATTTTATGCTGTTGCATAAATAACATAACTTTAGCATTTGAAATACATTTTTGACCATTTCATTTTAGATTAGATATTTTATTTAATTAAAATCAATGGGATTTTTTTTATTTAGTTTATAACCATGTAATAACTATGTAATTACATTGCAACAAGTCAACTAAGTGCATATTCCATAACAAGGCACTTCATCAAGCAATAACCATTTATCAATGATTCTCAACATTCATTTCTTTTCACACAAGCTGTTCAGTTTTATCATTACAATCCAAACACAATCTACACTTCGCACAGAGAGAGGCATTCATGTGCAGTCAGAGAGTGTTTCCAGTGAGCCGTCCCTGAAGCGCTTTCTTAATTTTAGCTGCGTTCACTCATAAATCAGTGCAAAGGAAAACAGAAGGAAAACTGCACTGGCAAAACCCGAGCCTTCTACTATGGACGGTGGGCTGGTGGTTATAGCGGTGGGATTTCAGCAGATGCTAAAGGAGGGATTCTGTGTTTTTCTGAATGAGGAAAGGGAAGGGATGACGTTTGGCGTTTTTGTGATCTTTGATCAGCTCAGAGAAGATAGCAGGATGTTTTATCATACATGTGTTTAGGTATGTTTTATGGGGGAGGAGAGAGCATCGAACACATATTTTAACCTCCAGGCCCCTAAAACCCCCGAGGCGATGCCGTTGAGGCCACAGAACAGGGCCATCTTTGTGTGGGGTGCGATCCCTACACAGCAATCAAAGACTGCTGTTCCCATACAAAAATAACCCCCCACACATGCATGTGGAAGAGAGAGAGAAACTTGTATCGAAAAACGAATGTGAAAACAACACAGGGCTGAACTGAAGGGAAGTTCTGTACTACATCTGTGTTAAGCAGCAGCTGAGTTTTATGTGCGCAGTTGTACATGTGCTTATGCTTTTATGATCCATGTTGCTCCCCTGATGGATTTGAATTTGAATCTATTTATTTATACTGAACAAAATCACTCAGAAATTGCTGATTGATTTTGTTGCTATCTATCTATCTATCTATCTATCTATCTATCTATCTATCTATCTATCTATCTATCTATCTATCTATCTATCTATCTAATCTTTTTAAAACTTTCAAATCAAAAATTTTTAACTAACCTTATACTGGAAAAAAAATGTAGAAACAAAATTTACTAAAAATCTTTACTAAATACAAAATTTGTAAATTTCACAAATAATTACAAAGAACCCACGAGAAACACATTGACTTAAATATGAAATTAATTTAAGTGTATTTGATTTTGTTATGATGACTGATTATTAACTTCACTAGATTTAATAATTAAATTTTCAAGAATGGAATAGAAATTTGTTTTCTATCTATCTATCTATCTATCTATCTATCTATCTATCTATCTATCTATCTATCTATCTATCTATCTATCTATCTATCTATCCATCCATCCCTCCATCCATCCATCTGTAAACTTATTATTTTTTTTACTTTCAAAATAAATTTGCTTTTCAAAAATTAGTCAAATTAATTTGAATGCATTTTACAGTCAAATTTGAATTGCAATTCTGTATCTAATTTGCTACTACAATTCAAATGTAAATCAAATTTAGGAATTTAATTAACTGAATTAAGGAAGGTGCTGAAACACCCAACATCAGCGATAATCCACCACAAATGGAGGACAGATCAATAAAAGCTTGTGGGGAAGGGCGAGAGAGCTAGACAGAATAGAGAGAGAGAGAGAGCAGGCTGTTCACTATCTATCTATCTATCATTATAAACTGACCAAAACGGATCAGAACAGATCATGGACAAAACTACATTAATTAGCCTAGACCACGTTTTAGTCTTGTTCATTGTTATGATGGTTTTAAGATGTTTGTTTGTTTGTTTGTTTATTTATTTTTTTCAAACATTAATAATTCAGTTCTTTAATAATCTTTAATATATTTTTCCACTTTCTTTCTTTCTTTCTTTCTTTCTTTCTTTCTTTCTTTCTTTCTTTCTTTCTTTCTTTCTTTCTTTCTTTCTTTCTTTCCTTCTTTCTTTCTTTCTTTCTTTCCTTCTTTCTTTCTTTCTTTCTTTCTTTCTTTCCCTCTTTCTTTCTTTCTTTCTTTCTTTCTTTCTTTCTTTCAAACAAGCAACATTTTGCTTTTCTAGTCAAGAATTACAGTCATTTGAATTTCTTTGACTTTCAAATCATTTTACATCTAGTTTTCTTTCAAATGCAAATTACATTTCTGCACTCTGCTTGCTACATCAATTCAAATTCAAATCAAATTGAAATGCATTTTAGCTTGCATTTAAAAATGCAAGCTTTAAAAGCATTCTTAATTCAGTTCTTTATTTTTCACAATTTTTTTTGTTTTATGTATCGTTCAACTTCCAAATTTCAGCCTTATAATAAGGTAATGAGACTTTCTTTTTTATTACAACCACCAGACAATTGTTTTATTAGTTGAAGCACTAAAGAAAAAAAATAATTTGAATTCAGAAACTGAAAACACATTCATCACAGAAGAAAATTGTCCCATCACTAAATATGTGTGAGCATAGATACATACAGTGACTCTGTGAGAGTAAGCACTTATTTTCTGTGCATAACCAAATTCACTCCTAAAACCTTTCTAACACACACACACACACACACACACACACACACACACACACACAGAGGTTTACATTTGTGAAAAGTGGGGACTCTCCATAGGCGTAATGGTTTTTATACTGTACAGACTGTATATTCTATTGCCCTACACCAACCCTACCCCTAAACCTACCCCTCACAGGAGACTTTGTGCTATTTCAGATTTTCAATACACTCCATTCTGTGTGATTTATAAGCATTTTGAAAAGTGGGGACATGGGGTAATGTCCTGAAAAGTCACCTTCTCCTTGTAATACCTGTCATACCTTTGTCATTATACAAATGTATGTCCTCATTTGTCACAAAAACGCGTACACACACACACACACACACACACATCTTTTCAGTCTGTACAGTGTGTGTATGTTCAGACAAAGGCAGCAGTTCAGCTCTGCTCCCCTCCTGCAATGAAATTCCAACAAATTCTCAAATTGCAGCTAAATTGAAAGCACATTGGTGAGTGGGCGGCAATCGCTAATAAAATCTGAATAACTGACCAACAGCAAAGTCAAAACAAAACCTCCTCCAGCTCCACTGAGCTCCAGTATCACCAGACAGCGCACCCGCCGCACACATTCACCAGCTCTGCATCTACGGCTTGTTCTGATGCATGTGTGCGTATGTATTTGTGTGCTGTTTGATTCAGCATTTGCTTGCAGTTTGGCCAGAGGCGGGACACGACACGGAGGAATGTTAATCAGACTCTACGTAAACATCACAGCATGTACACAGATGTATGAAATGATTACGCTGCGGACTGTCACACTGTCAAACACGCAGCGGGCCGATGGATGCGGATCCAGGCCCAGTGTGTGAGCAGAACCAGAGGCCTTTATTGTGGAGTGCTGCGACTGTGTTTGTTTGTGTTGCGAGAAGAAAGAGATCATCTTTGGTTTCAAACCCTGAGCCCTGGGGCTCAAAAGAAATCACTCCAGTAAGCATATGGACCTACATACATGTACACGGATGTAAACTACATGACCAGGGGCAGATTTAGTGAATTGGGGGCCCCAGGCAAAATATAGGAATGGGGCCCTATACATTTGCACACATTTTCCTATAGATCAGGTTCCTATAGGTTCCTTTTTTGTTGTTATGCTTGCTGCTGTACAATGGTGCCCCATAGTTGTGTCTAATGTTTCTACATTTTTCATGTACATGTTATAATGGCTTTCTTTCATGTTGTAGACCACGAAATAGCAACTGATTTACAGTTGAGATACAGGTTTTCACAAACACAAAATCAATTATAAAATGATAAACCTCACAATTGAACGTTTAAACCAGGGGTGAGCCAAAATTATTATATTAATTTAAAACGGGGTTATGTGGGTGGATTTTCGCATTGATCTGAACAAGAATTACAGACTGGATTATTGAAAATGAACATGCATTATCTGCCAGTAGGAGGCGCTTTTGGAACGTCAGAAATATAGAACGAGAAAAGTGTGAAAAAAATATAGCCTATATTGACGAGGAAAGTCCTCTGATGAGATGCCAGCGTAAGCCTGTGTGCAAAGGCTGTCTAATACTAAACTTTAAAATACATTTAGTTTGAGTTATTTTAACTACAAATTTAAATAAAACTGAAAAAATAATGAAAAGGCAATT